ACAACAACAGCAAAAAAAAGTGCCAAGCGCTAACGGGGACAGTGAATATATTTGTGTATATGTGTATTATTTCAAGTCCTGCCAAGTCTGTGCGCCAAGTCCTTAACTGATTTCCCAGCGCAAACAAGTTGGTCTCTCCAGTTGTCCTTGTTTTGGTCCCAAGTCCTGTGAATCCTGAGTCCTGTCCCCAGTCCCCTGTCCCCTGTCTCATTGTCCCGCATAAAAATACAAAGTTTATGTTATGAACACAAATAAAAACAAAAGCACACAACAAAGCTCGTCCAAGAACAACAGAAAGTGCGCAAAAAAATACGAGCCGGGAAAGGAATAAAATACAATAAAATGAAATAAAATATCCACAACAGCACACAGCAAGAACAGAGTCATTTGGCCACAACTGAGCTGCACACTGTGAAAAAATCCAGGCATTTAATCAATATTAATGTAACATAGTAGCCTTGGTTCTCAACTTACCTTTAACTAGGGAGTTTCCTTTAATCAATTAAATATCAAAAATTCATGTTGATTAATGATATTCATCATTTGATATAAACAGACAGTGATGTTTCCACTCCGCTGACATTTATTGTTCAGTATTTTCAACAAGTTAAGATCGAAATCTTAATACTTTCGAACCTTGAAATATTTAAATATTTTTTTTCTGGGTGTAAGAATCCTGGCCCCCCTCTTTGAGCAGTATATTTGCAAGCTGACGTGTCGTGTCTGCTGTCCCCGTTTTCCAAATCCACTGGCACAAAGAGTGCGATACCAGACGTCAACCACAACACCCATCAGCACAGACACACATGGTATATATGGGGAACTCAGAGTTCCGGATCTGGATGCGGATGGTCCGGTGATGACACTTACTCAATTAGGTGACTCTTCTCGACACTGATTTGCCTTTCTACTGGCCATTTTTATTGGGTGGTAACTTTCTGCCAGAGAGACAACCTATTCGTTTACCTTGATTAGTTTAGTCATCGCTTGTGCATTTTCAGTTTTTCAATTCTACAAATAATTCAATAATGCCTTAAGAAAAGCCAGCTTCATTTGTTTTATTTATTTTGTGATATACTTTCATTTGCTTAGTCCAAAATGTCTTTAATTAAGTGATTCGATATGTGATATTTGCATTATAATATAAATTAAAAACTTTAATAACAAGTTTCATGAAAAGCTTTTAAATTTTGATGGACTTGCAAAATTGGCGCTGGATTAAATTTACCTGAATTTCCATGGCTCATGTTCGTTTAGCCTGTGTTTTTTCATATGTCCATTTGTCTCGCTGTTTTTTCTACTATTCATAAATAAACACACACAAACCACACCTGGGCTCTCACTTTTCTCCTGGGATTTTGTGGGCCTCGCACTGCCGGCCACAGTTGGCGGCAATGACATTCAAAATATGTAATGCGAAAAGGTAACCGAAAATGTAACTTTAAATTGAAAAACAAAAAAAGTTTTGTCGGCGGGCTCAGAGACTTTACAATGCTGCTTGGAAAAAATAAAAAATAAACGGAAAAACTCGAGTGCGGAATTTTACCTCTAGTAAACATAAAACGTTGCATACTTTGGGGACACTAGTTCGCAACTGGGCGACAATAAAAACCAAGCAAAGCGGAGAGACCCGATAGGGGAGTTCAGTGAAATACCGGGAAATAAAGGGGACTGGGAATAGAAAGAGGTAAAGCGTGAGGCAAAAGTCATAACGAGTGCAAAACCATGAAATGAAATCGTTACCGTCCCAACCAACACACTTGATTTTCCAGGAGCACGTGGGTTTATTGGAATACCCTTATCAAGCCCTAACACATGTGGATTTTATGTTGTTTTCCCTAAATCTCAAAACATAACCACAAAATTGTAAAATTATATTGATAGTTAAAAATGGCAATTTGAAATATGTATGAATAAAAAATATATGTTACCGTATTACGCAAAAGTGTTTACTAAAATCCCTTTACTTTGCTATAGCCAGAAAACAAAATTTGTTAAAATTCTTGTTTAGGAACATAATTACTTTTCATCTTTTTAATACAAAATTTGGTTGCTATTTTATGTACAAATATTAATTTTTGTTTAATTTAAATCACTTTTAAAATTTAACAACTAAAAATTGATTAAAGGACAAAGTAAATATCGTTTCTAAGTTATACACTTTATTAAGGGGATTAAAAAATATATCAGAATATTTAAAGCTGGTGTACAGGAATCCATAAATATTTGCTTAAAGATTGAATCTCAATTTTTTTCCAATTAATTTAATAGGATTGTGAACTTTCAGCAAGGTTGAAAATGCTCGCTGCAAGCGTATAAAAACTCGCGGTTTATTGTATAATGCGAGCTCGCCTTTTTTACATTCGACATTTGAGGATGTGTGGCGGTGTGTGCTGGATGTCCTGGGAGTGTCACACATGGATGCGACACCCCCAGGATTGCTGCTCCTCGACCCCTGCTCCCGATTCCCTGCTCCTGGCACGCACTTGGGCGGATGATGGCCTGGGCGGTGACTGGAATTAAGCAATGTGTCCCTGGAGCATACTACGTTGCGTATACGTAATGTGGCCATGCTTTTTGGCGGCGCTGCATTAAAAATGAATGCAATTTAAAGTTGCCAGTGTGCCACCCCCTCGGTGTACGGCTATCTGTGTGTATTTTTGGGTCCCAAAGCACATCAAGAACCCGCACGTTTTTTTTTTGCATATTTATATAAAAAAAGCGAAAGGAAAAAATACGTTAGTTTGGCTTCCGTTTTTTCTTTTTCGGCATGAGTGACGCTAATGGAGCACCATTTGGCTGCACTGCTCCGAAAATCAATTAGATAAAGTTTTCCCCCAGCTGTGCTCTCTTATATATAGCTATATGGGGTGGAAAAAATGCACATATACAGTCTCTTAAACAAAGTCAAACATTTTTCATTTCAGTTTTGGGCATCCGCTGCAGCAAATTGCATAAAAATTAACAGTTCAATGGCTGCCCGGGCAATTATTCCATTGCCCTGCACTTTGCTGCTTTCATTTTCCCACTTTCTCTTCATCTTCTCATACTCATTAGGGGGAAAATTCAGATCATTTTTAAGTGGTCTTGCACTGGAGAAAATGTGCCATAATGTCAAAATCAATTCTTCTAAAAAGTGTTATATAAAAAAATGTACATTTTCGATTCTGAAATTTGAATATTTGATTCTTTTTTATTAAAGTAAATAAAAATAAAATTGTGTACGTGTAACTTGTAAATGCGAGTTTTTCCGCCCAATAATTTAATAAATTCTCATTAAAGTGAAATAAATGTAATTGGTAATCAATTAGTTACATTTAATTGTAGGTAAACATGTCATGTCAAAGTTAAGCTGACAATTGAAAAGTCTGATTTTTTCTGTGTGGACCGAAAGTACTTTCAGAGCTCCATCTCTGGTTTTCCCCACCGCTCAGTGCTTATTTGGGTTAATCAGAGATAATGTCCTTCTGGCCTAGACTTTGTGGATGGCTTTGCCATCAGTCAAATGCCAACTGCATTAACTGCTGACAGGGCACTTATGAGCCAGCATGGGAATCGAAAAAAAAGTGGATTGCCAAGCAACTGGGCAAAATATGACATTGCCACTGGGCTCACTCTCTCACCTTTGCACCCATCAAAATGTGGGGCAAAAAATTGGATACGAAATGGCATTTCCTCATCAAACTGTCGCCGCATGTCACAAATTTCGTTATATTTTTATTATTCTACCATTAACCTTTTTATTGGGCACGCATTTCGACGACACCCCCCTCGATCAAATGAAGGAATTTTGACGATATTGAATGTCGGGTGTTTGCCCCGATGCAATATTGAATATTTAAATCCCGCCCATACGAATGAATGTCCAAGGGCGCATAACAATTTCTTGACATGTGCGCCGAGTTCCCCAATGTGGCGACAGTTTCTCCCTTTTTTCCCCGGGTTTTCCCCGGTTTTTCCCCACTTTTCCCACTGCTAACGACATTTATATATCGAAAGAAACAAAAACGCCACAAAAGGGCAAGAGAACAAAAAGATGAAAACAGAAGGTAGAACAAAAAAAAAAAATAAAAAGAACCAATTGACTTTCATTTTGTCGGCCATTTTCACAGCGTCGTTTGTCCACCAATACACATACGAACCTACCACTACACACACGTATTCACGTATATGTGAACACTTCCTGTTGCTGAACGCAATCATCTGATTGCAGTTTCGATGTGAAATAATTGGATTTGAAATAAAAATGTCCCCTTTTTGTTGGGTCCTGACCATTTGACTTCCCCCCGGGAATTTTCCTGGGACTCCGGGCTGTGTGTATTGGCATAATTTAGCCGTGGCTTCATTCACTTTTACGTCCAGCATGTGTCACTAATTTAACGTTTATTTTTATTGCCCTACTCGCTTGGTTTGATCTTGTTTCCCACTATGGGTTGTCATTCTTGATCTGGAAGATGTGCATGGATGCTTTTGTATATGCTGATAGTCGGGATAAGCCTGTTCCTCAATATATTTATCAACATTTTTTTAAATATTTGTTAATGAACAACGTGTTTAATATTTTAATTCATTTAAAAATTATAATTTCTGTTAAAGAACAAACAAAAATCAGAAAATTTTATTTTCGCTAAATGAAAAATATAATTAATTATGTTAAACAGTAACCGTCTGATTTTATTTCATTATTAAAATAACAAGTGGATTTAAATTTCGTATTAACGTTTGCTGCGATTTTTGCAGCCAATTGTTTTCCATATGGGATCGCTTAAAGTCCGTAAAAATCCGTGAAAACATAATATTATTGACTCTCCTGCTTCCTTCTTTAAATTCTCGGGGCTTTTCGTTGTCTTCTCTCCTTTTACTTAATTGATATTCTCTTTCGATGCTTTCCCCTTCTGATTTTATATAAAATATAAGTAAACTTAATCCCTCAACCCAATGAAAATGCCAGTGATGACGTAGTGATTTTACTCTTTCAAATTAAATTTCTCAATTTTATTATTTTCACATTTCTTTCGGTTTTATTTTGTTTGCATTAAAATTGTGTTGGTTTTTCGAGAAGATTTCATAAAATGTTTGCCATGTTATCTTTACACTTTTAATTGCTATCCATATTTGCTATATCAATAATACATTTCACTTAATCCTACTGTTATTTTTAATCTTCATACATATAATCTTTAGTTTGTTTTATCAACCCTTGACGCTACAATTTTGGCAGCACTAAATCTAACATTAATATATATTTGGAACTTCTCCTCCAGCAGATATTTTTTTGTGGAATATTCTTTGTTTGTTTGCTGGTTGGTTTGCCCCAGCATTTTTTTTCTGTATTTTCACATTTGGTTTTAGTTGTCTATTTACAATTACACATGGAAAATTATGCTGCAACTATTGTTTACCTTTACTTATTGGAATTTCTGCAATACGCATCTGTTTTTGAGAGCTCTCGATTTTCTGTTGTTTAATTAAAATGCTGCGCGTCATTTTGGCTTAACTAAATATTTGCTGTGTTTTGTAAATAGAAGTATTTGTTTAATAATTATTTGCTCGGCTTTACGCTAGAATGTATCTGGTTTTTTGCCATTTCTTTGTTTCTATATAATATATATTTATATATGTAACCGTACATATAAAGGTTTTAATGGCTAACGCTACAAACTGTACGTCAAATATTTGGCAATTAGTTTTTGTTGTTATTGTGGGTTTTTATCGCATTTTACTTTGATTTTCAAATTAAATGCAAATATTAACGTTACTCGAATTGTGTTTTCCAGGCTGTGTCGCTTTGTTCTATTTTACTTTTAAATCCTTGTTTTGTTTTGGTAAATTTTAAATACATACTCTATGGAAAATTGTACATGCAATATTCAGAATTGAAATGTTAGTTCAAGTAAACTTTGCTACAAGTAAATGTTAATAACTATAATTTACAGTTTGACGTTTCAATGTACAGCGCAATTAAGTTTAATTATTGTTTGCTATCCATACGGCCGAGATGTTTATTTCGAGTTCTGTTTGCCTTCCACCCAACCGCCGTCGACCACTTTTCGAGTCTGCCCAATTATGAACGTTATTTACGATCCCAACAACCGCCAACTGCCAACGGCCAATGCCCAATGGCCAATGGCCAAACAAAAGGCAACTTATTTTCACATAATTTTCTAAATCGCCCCCATTTACGGACCCGAAATGTCGCTCCAAAAGCCATTTAGCAGGCAAATAATTACGTTCTGCCCCGGACCAACTTTATTAACTGCGCAGGGAGACAAAAGCCGAGGGCCCCCAGGCCCAGGGTCTTCTGGATCTGGATCTGGAACCCATCACATACCGAGATTGTGTGGAATGCGAGCTCCGAAAGTGTCAAATATCGAATTAACTCATTTCAGTTGGTTCTCCTCGGCTGGAAAACTTCCTAAATCTTTGGCCAGCTGGCCAGTGTCATAAGCAAAAGGTCCGAGAAAGGGAAACCTTCATTAAATTTGACAATGCTCCAGGACTAAATCCAACCGGACTTCGGACTCTCTGGGTCACTCAAGCCGCAGGGTTTCTTTTGTAGGCGAATTTTGTGCTGTGCTGGCAGGCCGACATATAAAAAGGTCTGGACCTCCTGCGAAACGCTCAAAAAATTCCCCACACTTGCTTCCACTTGGGAAGTGGAAGTTCCTTAATTAAGATTTTGTGCGTCCTGGCATCGGACGAGCACTCGAACACTCGAAGAAGAAGGACCAAGGAGGCGGAAGGACACCCCGCCGGCTCTCGGCCATCATCATCTAATCCCACCCAACCGGGCGTGGGTTGTTGGTCAGCATTACTTTAATTGTTGTTCGGAGCGCTTTGTCGGGCATTTCGCTTTTGTGGCCGAAAATAAATCCTTCTGAATTGCTTAAGCGGACTCTGCTTGAACGCCTTCCAACCTCCCCCCCAAACAAAGTTTTGTCTATCTGCACTTGGACAAAATTGGGTATCGAACTTTTTAACATACTTTAAGTTGATTGCTCAGACACTTAAAAGACGACTTTAAAATATCTGGATGTTGTAAAAAATACCCTTTCTGCGCTGTCTATTTTATATATTTGAAAATCTTAAGCAGTGGTCAACAGCAGCAGCGCAGGCGGCCCGCGGGATAGGAAACGATTTTACCGCTGCACTGCTCGACCACTGATTTAAAAATAAAATGAAATGTAAATTTTAAGATAGTATGACTTTATGTTGAAGTATAATGCATTAAACTTTACACTTTAATAACTTTTTTTTAAGATACCATCCTTAAAGATTAAAGTTAAATGAAATTTTGGGTAAGAAAAAATTCTTGATTTGAATTTGCAGTTAGGATAACTTACTCCATGAGCTAAGTAAATGACTTTCTTGATCTAGTGTACGTATTTAAGTCCATAAGAATTCATTATTTTTCTGAGTGCTTTCTAACCCGAATATAGCTCTCTCCACTTCACTTTCTCCGACTGTTTCCTGTTGCTGTCGCTTGTGTGCACGCGCCTTCTTCTTGTATTCCAATTACAAAGCCACAAAAAGTTGAAAAAGCTGTGCAATGACTGTGGTTCGTCCTTTTGGAAGGAGGTGGAGGTGGAGGTGGTGTGTTCACATCTTCAGTTCAGCTCAGTTCGGCGTAGTTCGGTTTAGTTCAGTGGTTGGGGTCGCAAGATTGTTGCACAACTTTTTATCGTGTCTTAATGTAATTGTTGTGTTCTATGTTCGTTCAACGTTCCTTTGGCCATTCCCCTAACCATTTTGCCACCCCTGAAGATCCAGCCGCGTGCCTTGTAATTTGATTTGCGCCACATTATTTTGATGTCCGTTAGATACATGCTCACCACATAGCCCCCAAATAGTTTTACAACATTTCACTTTTGGCGTGGCGGATTAGATGTCTGGCCATTTGGCTGGATTTACACCATATGTTGTGTTGGTCAATTTGTAAAATGAGGTTAAGTGCAGGGCTGATTCTGAGGGAAAGTTTCCCCCAGCATCTTCAAATGGGGTGAAGAATGCTAGATGCCGGCGAAGATAGCAAAAAACACTTCTGCCATCCCAAAGAGTGGGTGGAAATTGTCGAAGGGACAGAGGCGAAACTTTAATTAGATTGCAATTTAAACTCTGGCATCTGAAGCAGCCGGAAAAGTGGGTTAAGATCCTGCCAAGCATCGAACTTAGGAGAACAGGAAGTCTTAAAGGGTAATAAACACAAGAAGGATAAGGCTTGAAAGTTGGGAATTCGAAAGTGAGGTTAAGAGAAAATTTAATAAGAAAGATGTACACCTAACATCTTACTATAAATCTGCAGTAAACTCTGTAGTAAATTAGTCTCAGTATCATATATTTCCTAATTTCTTGTCACACATAATTCCCAATATGGATGAAATGATGTCCCTGCTCAGCGTCCACTACCATATTAAATTTACGCTCGACCAATTTCCTTCGATTTATCCGCCTGGCTCAGCATCTGCTGGCACAACTTCTGATTACTGAATTGGGTCTGTCATAAACTAAATTGTTATTTAATACTTGATCGATATTTCATTTTTATATGCATGACTATCAAAACACTTAATCTTGGCAAACGGACAGGCACTTATATAAAGTTAACTGGGCCGCACACGGCGGTCTCTTGGCCAGTAAACTGACCCAAATACGGCCACAAGATGGACATCGACTTCGGTTCGGATGGCTCGTAAAAACTTTGCTGGCGTTGGCTATTTGGCTCCTTGGCCATTTCTCCACTTGGCTTGGCCGCTTGTCTACGCTCGTCGCCCTGCCGCCATTGCCCGGTTACATGCGGCGTATACGTAACAGGAATTTATGACAAATTGTTGCTGCTAACCGAATCGCTAAGAGGCCTGCAACGTGTGGCCACTGAGCCATCATAAATCAAGCCGGGAGCCAAGGAACTCAAAGTAATCTATATATAGACATAAAGCTGCTGGCATTTATGTTTTTCTTTTTGGAGTTCCCTTAGAAGTTCTATTTTTAACCTTTTAGAGTACTAAAAATAGGCGAAAGTACTAATCCTCAATGGTATTTCATAGTCATTAGCAGTAAAGTTGCCGAACTTTTTGAAAAGCATACGAACCGAAAGATGTGTACATAAAGTTCAAACCGACTTCAGAAGAAATGCCTTGAAAAATATGTTAAGGGCTTTAGGGGCTTTATAATCTTTTCGTTTACAACATTGTATAACCACAACAATATTCTTTAATTGAATATGATGAACTCTGAGTTATTTTGAACACTAAAATCTTGACAACTTTTGATTTTGATTGATTTTTTTAAGTATATCTAAGCTTCTTGACTCGTTTGGGTTGGTAGTTGGCAGCTGACGATTGTCGGTTGGGCGCCATTAAATCTTACATTTTTACTCTACTGAAAGGGCGCGTATTGTCGCTGGCCAAAGACGGTTTGTCACCAGATGCCCAGCCTCCGCGAACTGGGGGCCATCAGTCTGCTGCTCACCGACTTGATGGCGGCCGCCGAAGAAGGTACCGCTGCTGTGGTGCCGCCCAGATCGGTGGCAGCCACTCGATCTGTACGGATTCCGAGATTACTACTCCTGCTGCCCAACAGTTCCATGGGCAAACTGGGCAGGGTGGACGCAGTTGGACTACTGGGCGCCATCTCTATATAGTAGCTGTCATCTCTGCTGGGCGAATGCAGGCTACTGCGACTGCTGCCCGACGAGGAAGCGGAGGATGTGGTGGTGGAGGAGCTCTTGTCTGCCAGTGATGAGCTGTAGAATTGCTGGCATCGCTGTTGTTGCAGCTCACGAGCTTGGAGATTGTGCAGCGGGGAGCTATAAGGAGCCTCTCTCCGGGTGCTGTGATGCCACTTTTGCAGGCGAGCCGGATCTCCTGAAGAATTCACGGATCCCTGATAGTGCAGGAAGCTGTGGGCATCGTCGGTATCATTAAGATGCCTCTGATGGTGCGGTCTTAGTTGCCCAGAGCGATTGCTCCTCTGCCAGGGCAATTCACAGCGATAGACATGAGCCAAACCTGCTAGTAATACAATGAATAACACGCAGGCCACCAGCAACATGACACCAGGATGATTTTCCGTGAGATTGTGAAGGCTCTCCTCCCTTTGATCCATCAGATGTTCTGGTTTCGATTCACTTTTCAGTTCCACATAGGCTTTTAGCTGGGCAAAGGTGCTGAGTTCCTCCGGAGAGGCCTCCCTTGGCGTGTTGACACTGCTATGTTGATGCTGTGGAGGCGGTGGATTCAAGGTGGCTCCCAGTTCCTCAACCTTTTTTACGGCATGTTTGGTGCTGTAGGTCATCTTCTTGATGCTCAGGGATGGCTTCTTTTTGTGGCTTTTCGAAGGAGACTTGGAGTCGCCGTTTATAGCTTCCTCAGCCGCTGACTGGTGCCTTTCCTGATCTGCTGACAGATGATGTTGGCTGGAGTCCAAGACTTCCGCATCCGCATCCGCCACGGTGGCCGTTCCGGGTAGCAACAACTGCTCGGCGTCCACCAAAAGGACATCGCCCTTGTGCATCAGCAGCGGTGTGCCAATTAGATGTCGATCCTTAACGTGCAGCTGCAGTGTTGCATGTTTGTGCTTCGGTGTTGCCACTTGACCGGATGTGTTGTCCCCCGGTGTCGTCGGTGGTGGGTATTTTAATAAAGTCTCCTGTGCCTTATCGCTTGGCATTTTGTCAGATTTTTTGCCAGCCAAAATTGTTTGTGGCACTTCAATTGCTGGTTGTTCAGCTGATGTTGCTGCTGTTTTTGTGGCACCGCTAATGTTCGCTGGCTTGTAGGAATTTATTGCTGTTGTTGCTGCTGTTGGTGTTGCTGTTGCTGCAGTTGCTGATGTTGCTGCTGGCGTTGCCAAAATGGGAGCCGCTGTTGTTGCCTTTGTCTGGTTAAAACTTGGCAGGTTCTTTGCTGGCATTGCTGTTGTTTTGGCCGGCATGCCAGGCATTTGTTGCCGCTGCTGCAGTTCCTCTAACGAAGTTGTTTCTGTTGGCCGCAAAGTTTTTGTGGTTAACTGGGCAACGCTGTTGCCAGCTGATTGCATTGCTGATGTTGCTGTTGGGTTGCCTGGTGTTGCTGTTGGGTTGGCTGCTGTTGCTGTTGGGATTGCTGCTGCTGATGTCGCTGCTGTTTCTGTCGTGTGTGTTGCTGCTGTTTTTTCTGCTGTTGCTGCCGTGTCTGCTCCCTTTGACTTTTTAACTTTTGACATAGTTTTCGGCGTTGTTGTTAGTGTCTCTACTGCACTTGTAAGGCTGCAAGAAGGTGGCTTTGTGTCATCTTCCGGTTTCCTTTTGCCGCACTCCCCTCGCCTGCTGAAGTTCTCGTGAAAATTGTGGAACTGCAGATACTCCGTCTTCAGATCCACCCGCCCACTGACAATCATCCCATTCGGCTGACCCACATCCTCTGACCTGCAAGGACTGGCCCACTCAGCAATTCCCAGCAAATCGCTGCATTTGATAGGATTGTCCTCCAGTAGGAGATCCCTCAACTGGGGCAGTGTGTGCACTATTGATTGGCTAACGCTCTCCACGCCTGAAGATTGCAGATTCAGGGTAAGCAGCTTGGGCAGCGAAAGGGCGGGCAGAAAGATCAAACGATTGTTGGATAAATCCAATGTCTGCAAATTGACCAGGCCTACGAAAACCTGAGGCGGTAGCTCCATTATCTGATTGTGCTGCAGGAATAGGTGCTCCAGCGAGGGCGGCAGGCTACTGGGCACTCGCATTAGGAGATTGTGATCCAGGAACAGGGATTCGAGGAGCTCCAATCGCCCCAAGGCATCGTCCTCCACTTGGGCAATTCGAGATTGCGAGAGATCAAGGTACTGCAGCAGGGGATAGCTGTCCATGTCGCCGCAATTGATTGCCTGTAATTTAAGGTATAATTTTATAAGTTTTAAATATACCATTTGGGATGCGCATAAAAAAAAGATGTGGAATGTTGTAAGTGATTATTATTAAAAAGTAAAAATAAATATATACCAAACTCAATTTAACCTTTCGATATATTTAAATGATATATTTCAAAAGTGTAACGGAATATTTCACCTATTTAAATCCAACAAGCTAAGACAGTTTTATCGAAAATTGGCCACAAAGGGTTACGTACGAAAACTTTTATGATTTAATCCCCGTCTAGCCGCTGACTTTGCGAGCACTCAAGAAGTTATTGTTCTTCGGCGAAAGTCTGGGGAAATTTGATTAGTGGCTGACAAAGAGGGAAAGTGCGAGATGCATAGCCCCATGCGACATTGTTTAAAAATTAACTTAAATCTGCCATTATAATTACTTCAAAGGACTCGACAGCGACGGCGAATGCGAACTTGCCCCTTTTCGCAATCCCTGCGATGCCTGAAATGCCCGGGGCGATGCTCGTCTGGCACCAAAGTAAACATAGACGCGACTCGTTAAATGAAACGAGTGCCAGGCAACCAGGAAGCCAGACAGCCTGCCGTCGTCTCTGTCCTGGGGCCACTGAAGAAATGAAAGTATGATAGCATAGGGATGAGAATTGGGGGCTCAGAATGGGCAACCAGCGGCCCCTAAACGCCATAATTTGCCATGAAAAGGCTGCGTGTTGACTGCCGATAAAGGCAGTGGCAAAAGGCAGTCGGCCTGGCCCGGCGAACAAATTAAAATGGCTTGGCAACAAAGGCACCCGGGAGCAGTGACGAGCCACTCCAGGAGCTGGAGGAGCAGGAGCAGGAGTGGCAGAAGCGACTGCACAGATAGTTGGCTAGGCCACTTGAAAAAAATCTAGGCCATGAAAAGAAATATTTATTCATAAAATAACTATTAAATAAAAGAGCAACAATAAAAACTGTAGATTAAAACGGCAGGAAAAACGTTCAATATACCAAATTTAAACACATATTACTACAATGAATAGCTTATAAAGAATATAAAAATAGAAAACATTTTTTAAAAGAATTTAATATAAAAGAAATTATGGGAATACATTGGATATTTATTATTTAAAATTCAACATGAAATCCCAGCCTAAAAACCCCACTAAAAAGTGATTGCTTCAAGTGTACATCTAATTCCAGCTCCTGTCTCAGCCGTCTCAGCTGCACGTTGGCTGTTGGCTTAAACGTGATTATGCTTATGCCAATTATCCTTATTTTATTAATACCCAGGCCCAGGACCAGGACCGGGCTGAGGTTCCTGCTCCTGCTCCTCCCACTTCTCCCGGCAGCTTGGGAGCCTTTGTCTATGGCCCTAAACAGCTTACGAAGCGGTATTTTTGCACCTTTTATGGCTTCCGCCATAATCGACAGAGCGACAAAGGCGGTGGCAGCCTCAATTTATGCGCCGCATTTGTTTGTCTACACTTGAAGCCGTTTAAGGATAATACCTGGGTGAAACGAAGCCTGCGGACCTGCTGAGCTTTATGCCCATAATGCAATCGGGATTGTCTATTTTTGTGCCCCCTCTAAATCTGTTTGCTGTTTTTTCTGTTTTTCTGTGGGTGTTTTTGTGTTTGCAAGTGTTGGCAATTTGAGGAGTAACGCTAATCTGCTGCTCGTGTTGCTGCTTATGTCAATCAAGTCCACAGGACCTGTCCAGTGCCTCCCCTGTTCCAAGTATATTTTCCTAGTCCAGTTGGGAAACCTTCTTCATCGCCCCTTCTTATTGCTTTTCTTTCCTTATTAAGACTTGAGCGCCCATTCCATTATTTTCCCTTTGTTTTCCACTTGTTGAAAAGTGGCAAGTGCACTTTGCTATTCCATTGTGTGGCCACATTGTGTCTTAATTACGTTCTTAACTGGACTTGAGTGGCGTGTCCTCTTAGCCGGACTAACAGCTTAACAATGCCTGCAACTGCCACTCAAGGAGAATACTTTTCTAGCCTCGTTCCCATCTCGCCTAACACTCTAAATTGGATTATTCGCTGGAGATTATTAGCTATAATATCCCATTTCATTTATATTGCTTTGCAGGGGAAGCGTTGTTGGGAACTTAATTTTAGCTACCTATTGTAATCTGATACCAATTAAGAGTCGAATTTTCGTTAATATATAGGTACGTCATTTTGAACGTTTCTATTAATATACAGAACCTATATTCCCTTTTTCCCTTAATAATTACTAATAAGGCTATTTTTAATAGGAGTTAAAGTATATTTCCACATCGAAACCTTTAAAAATCAATATTCTAGCCAACAGGTTTCCAGATAAATTCAATGTCTACAGAATCAATAATATAAATTTCCTATTTTTATGTAATAGCTCCCAATGCTAAAATTAACACCACATACAACTTTACAGTCTCCCTCCTCTTGCTTCCTCTTCCCACTTCCGCACCGAAGGCGGAAGTAAAAGAGAGCCGCACAAAATGGCTGAGGGGGCATAAAATTTAAAAATAACAAAGTGTAAATCATACGCGTGGTAAGATTGCCTTGCGGTTGCTTCGCCTGGTGAATGGGTGGGTGGAAAATCACGGGGAGAAAGCGGGGAAAATTCAGAGGGCTCAGGAAAACGCACTCAAGCACGCAGCAAGGAGCACAGGCCACATAACAGATGCTAATTAATGGCGGCTGTGGCAAAGGAGCCACCATAATGGAGCCTCCTGCAGGATGCAGGATCCGAGGACTGAGCACTGAGGACTGGAACTGGGTCTGAATCTGAAGCCAAGGACAAAGATGGCAAGTGTCTGTCGGGAATGTGCCGTTAATTGCCGGCAAATGCGTCGAATTGCGGTTCATTGGCTTGCTCAACTCGGGCAGTCGAGTTGGTAATTTATCGATCACAGCAGAGCGTTTCCCCCAACATTTTTCTTCCTACGTTCTAAAAGTCAGTATGGGGGAAATATTTTATTTTTGGCATAAGCCTAGACCTATTATAATAAATATTCAATGAAAATAAACAGTGAGGAGAAATCAGGCTAAAAATATTCAACACACATTTTAAAAATGTAAGGAAGGATTTTAACAAAAAAATTATATCCGTAATAATTTTATAACAATTTAAAAAACTTATGGTAATAAAATCAGATAAAAAGTCTATTTTAACAATATAATTTATCTAAAATAATTTAAAATATCATTAAAAATAGTTAATCCTTAGCGTTATTGACTTACCTTGAGCCAGTTGTCGGCCAACTTGAGAGTCCTCACAGATTGGGCCAGAGCTGCGGGAACTTGGCACAATCCCGTACCGCTGGCATCCAACTCCTTGAGACTCCATGAGGCTACGAACTCTTGCATGGCCACTCCCACTTCCGGATTGTAGGCAATCGAAAGGCTGACCAGATCCGGAATTCCCTGCAGAGCTCGTATGGCAGAACCACTCAAGCGGTTATGGGACAAATCCAAATGTTGCAGATTCGGAAGAGCCAGAAATGTTTCGTAGTCTATGTCCGAGATGTTGTTATGACTGAGAATCAAAGTTTGTAGCTCTACCAAATTATAGAACGATTTTTGCGAAATGTTTATCAATTGATTGTGAGCCAAGTTGAGATTTTTCAGCTCAGGTAATCGTTGTGCAAAGAAGCTCGTGGAAATGTGGCTGAAGTTGTTGCAGGAAAGATCGAGTGTTACGAGGGGAAGTGATTTATTGGTATCCGCTAAGCTCAGGGGTATAACCTCCAGGGAATTATTGCCCAAATCCAGTTGCCTCAGCTGATTGAAGTTGTCCAAACTAAGGCTTTCGAGTCGATTGCTACTTAGATCCATGGCGGTGATCACCTGGAAGTCGCCCTTCCACTGACCATTAGTGCTATTAAAGGTTCTCAAGTCGCGGTGGGTGAGATTTAGCTTGTTCGCTGGAGCATTCAGTTCCAGCTCCCTTTTGTGGCGCCTCTGTTGGTATCGCAATTCCCCCCGAAAGCTGGCCGGTTCATTTTCGTCCCTCAACATTCGATGGATGCTCTGGTAGCTGAGACCCACATTCTGCAGGGACAACTGCTGCTCCTCCCTTTCGGCGGCCAGGCGGGATGGGGTGGGCACTTCGAGGGGCAGGTGGGCCGAAACCACCAGCCTTGTTAGCCATGTCCAGGCGAGGAGTAGGACCAGGCCTAGATCACAGTGTTGGTTAACGATTTTCACCATTTTGCGCCCCACTTTCAAGCGTTCTGGGTTTTTTTTTGTGCTTTAAAAGGTAACGTTTTTCTTGTTTTTTATTTTTTTTGGTTCGTTCCGGCTCTTTTATTTCACTTGGAATTTATGCTCGGTACGTGCGAACGTTTAACGTTCAATTTTGAATATGGCTGCTGGCTTATTCATTTCCTCGTTCATCGGACTCGCCTGGTTATCCTGGTCCTCCGGGGGCGTCACGTGCGCGCCTTTTTGGCCAAACATGTGACAAGTGTCGGCGGCAGTCAGAAGCGGAAGTTGCCCGAGGGCAATGGCTGCGTTTCCGGTCCGGCGGCCATTGCTCAAGCTGCGTGCTTGAATTCCATCGCACACAGATGCTGATGCTGATGGTGATGGTGATGGTGAATTTTTAATTAAATCAACTTGATCATTCTATTCCGGGTCGTCTGTTATTGTTTCCCCCCTTTCAATTTCAGCGTTCTGCAATTGTTTTACAATTTTAATTGCGCTCCTTTGTGTTTTGTTCGGAGTGTTTTTTTTGTTGTTGTGTTTTTTCCCCTCCGTAATGCTAATTGCTGTTGAACAAAACGCAACTCAACTCGAGCAAATGTCAATTAAAAAGCGAGCATTCCTGCTACTCCTGACGCCCCTGGTTTTGGTCCTGCTGTTGTTTTTAGCCAACTGTTGTCACATTACAATGCCAAGTGCTCCCCTGGCGTCGTTGTCGTCGCGTGCTTAAAATCTGTAATAAAACGTGAAAAAATTGCTTGTAATTACGCTCTTGTTGTCTGTGTTGTGCTGTGTGTGGATGCAAAAAGGTGGCAAAAGGTAAAAAACTTGCTTTTAAATATCTTTCTCTCTTCCCTTGGTTTTCGCTTTCTTTTCTTTTCTTTTTATCGCATTTTAATTTCTACTTTGGCTTTACGACATCGCAGCGCTTTGGCAGTTGCCTTTAGTGTTATTTTTATGTTGATTGCAGCTAATGAAATTATAATTTCAACACGCCATGTTATTTGTGATGGCAGATATTCTCCAATCCTGTCAGCCGCTTGCCACTAAGTCCCGGTAATAAACCCCAGCCAACTGTTTGGGCGTATGTGTATGCTTGCCATAAATCATTTAACTGGGTCATTTCATTTCCGGCGTAGACATGCGACAGGAAGGCCACTGAGCAACACAACTGTCAACTGACAACCCACAGCAGCTGGCCCCAAAACGAGGCAAATTTGATTTACTCATTGCCGGCCTAATGACGCTCGAATGTATGCTACGCATTCTGGCCTTTCTTGTCCCCGTATCCCAAGAGTATTTTATACTTGCTTTCCTTTTTTTGGGCTCGGACACCCAATTCTGGTAAATTAATTTGTCAATGTCTACTTAAAGTCGAGCATGGCATTTTGATAACCCAAGAGCGAGGTATAATAACTTGTTTGGGAAGATTGCAGTTTATTGATGGATGGTTTCGATGGGCGATCAGAAAGTTATTAAATGCTTTTAAGCCTAACCCTATTGAATTATTTTTTTTTATGAAACTTTTTTGATTATGATATAAGAGCTTGTGATTTATATATTTATAAATTCTAAAATATTTTCTTTATATCAAACATCATCACACACATCATATTAAATTCATTGATTTTCCAGTTCCCAAAGCTCTCAGAACATACAAATTTAATAATTTGTACATGGTTTCCTTGTCATTACACACAAAAATGTTGAGCCACATACCAGAGCCTTTTATATACAAATTCAAATACGGGGAAAAAGGCCCTGACTGGGTTTACGTTAAATTTATTGACAAATATCATCAAGAAGCTGGCGTTTCATTTCATCTGCGGCCGTTTGCTTACATAACAGTAAAATTTGGGCCATAAGTTTGGCGACATTCAGCCACCCAGTCCACCTCCTAATACGTAACACCCCCAGACGTTCAATTCAGCCAGATATTCAGACGGGCAGATGTACGCAAGTCAATTGACATGAAAGTCGATTTCAAGAACCAACAACAAATGGGGGAATATCAACAGCAGCAGCAACAACGTGAGCTGTCTGTTTGCCAGGAGAAGATTGAAGCATCCCACAGTTTCTAAGGGGGTGGTGTCCTTTATTTGAAAGGGGGTTTGGAGGGGGTACCAAGGGTGCCTGTCAGTTTATTTTATGCCAGCTTCAAAATAATTTGCAAATTGCTGTGCCATATTTTTCTGGTACTTCTGGCCTGTATTTTATTATCAGACATTAGCGAGGGTTGTTTGCTGAAATTTGCCAGCGACTTTATTGCATATTTATATGTCAGACCCACCGGCTTTGTGTTCTTTAGGTTAGTGCATATTTTTGTAAGTTAATCAAATGCTGTGCACAAAGCAAATAACTTGCAGTGCTGCAATGTTGAAGTACATTATTCGTAGATGCAAATGCCAGGAGAGCACAAAGGACGACAAACTTTCGCAAAAAAATAAGTCCAGCATATAAACGAAAAAGTATAGTAACTTCCGGAAGCCGATTTCCATATTCTCTTTCAGTAAATGGTATACTTTTTTAAAATAAAATAGATAATAATGTATTAAGAAGTCAGATATATACATTTTAGTAATAGTATTAAACTTAAAAATATTAAAGATATAATTTTGAGGCTCGCACCTTGTAAGTAACTATGAGTCTTTTTGAGATTTTAAAAAGTTTTTTTATTTTTCGTAGTTGTTCTTAAATAATTGTAAACATTGCTCCAAAGATATACCGACATCTCATACCCTCTGCCAGGATATAAAAACGAAGCTGCTTAAATAAAGCCAAGGCGCACTCACTGGTAAAGCTGAAATTGGATTTCGTATCCCCCCTTTTTCTCCCAGAGCGCCCAGCATACGTCTGTGATTTATTTTAAACGTATTTAGATGCCCCGAACCCGAATCCGAATCCTCGAACCCAGCATGGCTTTATCAACGGATGCAAATGCAGTTGACGGGGCAAGGACATGGCCACATGGCAGTCCTTCCATTCCTGCACCAGTGCATTTCATTGAGTCGCTGCTTTTTTCCTTTGCAACTGCTTTTTGCTTCAGTGGCGCGCTCAATGGTGCAACAAAACACACACATACACACAGAATATAGTATCTCAATGGCAGTCGCGGCTGGTTGCATTTACCCAGACACGCTGGCGTATACGTAATGCGCTGCATTTACTCCTCTATCGCGCTCGGTGCTTTATTTGTATGGAAATGTTACTGCTCACTGCTGGCCCGAGCGGTGTCTTTGTACTTGGATCTTCTTTGCTCGGCACGAACGGCATGTTTATTGTTTAAGTGCGCTTCCTGCGCTTCTTTCAATGCATTTGCCCCCCTATTTATTCTCATCCTATCCCTTTGCGCCCCTTTGTTTGCTGTAGTTTTAATAAACTTCCGCTTTACCCTTGGCTTCATAGAGTTCGCCTTGTGTGAGCGACATGCTTTCGATGCTGGTGCACTGGGAAAAAATTATAGTGAACATCATAATATATCAAAAACTTTAGACAGAAAATTTGATAAATATTATACCATTCTTTAAAACTACCTCTTTCTAGAAAATATTTTTATTAAGTATCTTTATTACTGTGTTTTGGTAAAGATTTTCCTGCTTCTCTACAGTTTCTCTTTATTCTGTTGTATGAAAAAAATTTAAAATTTTGTCTAGCTATTTTCCTGATTATTTTTTCAAGTGTTCGGGAATTTGTGCGAGTCAGCTATCCTGCAAAAACCCTGCAACCCAGCATCTGTGTCAATGTCAGGCACGTGCGGGCACGTGGATATGCATGTGGGACTTAAACTGCTTCTAGGTCTGGCATCTTTAAGCAAAATGTCCAACACTTGGCGAACAATTTGCCACGACACTTGGTCGATTTTCAGCCATCGATTTGCTTTTCTTTACTGCGCATAAAAGTTTTCAAATTAAAGTTTATTTCTGGCTTTCGACTGTCAGGCTGAACGAGCTGGCAATTTGGCAGAAGCATCAGTTCGACGGCCTAGACTGTCTGAAATATTGGCAGACAGAGTGGGTGGAAGGAAAACCATTGAACAAACTGTTGAGGTGCAGGTAGGGTCTGAAATGTGAGCCTACTTAAAATTGGTTGCTTTTCATGTTTCGGAAAAAATTTTAAGTTTTGTATAAATTGATTGAATGGCAGAAAGGACTCCCAAAAGAACGTATGTTTTAATATTTGGTTTTAAACTTTTTCTATTAGAAACTCTTGTTTGATTTACATTTTTGATTATTTTAAAATTATATCAAAGTATTTCTAGTGAATGAACTCTCGGCTATGTTACTGTTCCATATCTTTCCATTCTTAAATTTCTACCACAAATATTTTTAAATATTCTTACATTGCCTTGTCAGATCCCCAAGGATATTATGTATGGCCTTGTACTATACAAGTTTCTGGTTTTCTACACAATATATGAGCCTACAATAGCAACGAGATTTGTCATTCCCATCAGCGGGAGATTTCTGGGGAGCACATGTCATTGACTTCCGTTCCGTGAATTCTGCCGCCATGTTGTGCTCCTTATTAATGCCCTGCGGTAAAAAGGGACCACCCACCCCGGGAAAACCCTGGGAAAACCCCACCCACTGCCCATCCCAAGCAACCAAAAACACATAAGTAAAATCTGTAATAAACTTGTTGTTGTTCTCCCTGTCAGTGGGTGAGTGTGTATGGGGCTTTTATTGTTTTATTTGTGTGCGTCTTTTCAGGCAAGTTTTTATTTTGTTTTTCCTTTTATTTATTCTTTTTTTTTTAGTTTTCCTTCTGCTTTTATTTGTTAAATTGTGTTGTGAAAAATCGCTGAAGGCCTAGGGCCGCCACAACAGAACTTGGGCCTCTTGTGTATGTTTATTTGGTCGGTTTTTGTTCCGTTTCGTTCTATTTTTTATATATATTTTTTGGGGTATTTGGGTGTTTGTGTGCTTGACTTCGTCTTGGGCTTTATTTTGGTAGCCCAATTTTGGTTTTGCTCGCAGCAGCTTATCTTCCCTGGGACCTTGAATGCGGCAAAAGAATATTTGTGATAAATAAAAAAAGGAACTCTGATGCTTGGATTGGGTTTTTTGTGTGTGGAGTGGCATGGGTGCACTCATTTTTATTATCTTACTCATATTTTTAACCCCTTTGTCGTGGCTTAGTTTGGTTCTGGCAAATCTTTTTATGAAATTGAAAAACTTTTTCAATAACTGCGCATAAATTGTTGGCCTCTCCCACTCCATTGTTCGATTACTCAAAGTATAACCATCTTTCAGGCCCATTTTTGCCCGGCTCTTGGGCTGGAATATTACTCGTAGTTAATATAGTAATATGAAATGCCCTCTTAGCAATGCGAAAACCAATTCCACTTTGGGTCAACAGCCCCAACAAATTGTGTGGCTGACAGAGACTGAAGTGCTCCTGATTCGCAACCACAGGCACTCATATTTCCTTGTCCGGCACATAAAGTGACACAATGATTTTCTAATAATTTGCCAAATTGCCTTTGGTTGACCATTAAATCTGAGATACGTGTCTGTGTGATAGCCGGATTATGTTCACACAGATACTCTCATTGCCACGCCCCCACGCCCAACGCCCCCACATGTCTGAGGAGCAGTCAGCTAGACGAAATTCTTCTGGCCAGGACATAACTCGAGACTTTTGGCAGCATCCTTCGCCTCGAGTGTGGTGTCATCGAGTTTCGCCCCCTTATCATTCTTCGCCTTCTTTTGGCCCCTTAAAGCCGAAGTCCTT